GTGGGCTCCCTTCTACTATGTGTCCCATGATGTGGACACAGGTTAAGGAGACTGCACAGGCCCCGGCCAACGTGCAAGGGCCACCTTGGCCAGGCCACGCCCGCAGTCTCCACTGGGATGAAGTGCATGTAACCCACAGGGGCTGGACACTGAGCTGTCTCCCCAGACCCGGGTCTTGGAGGCCCCTCGGCAGCACTGGGCTGAGGTCTCGGCAGGTGGGCAGGCTGCCAGTGCCCAGAGGTATCTGTGCTCTGGGTAGGTGAGTGGTGCCTAGAGCGTGACCTAAGCCTAGGAACCCCAATTCCACCACAGGGGACTGCTGGCTGCTGCCCAGAGGCCCCGACCTCCCAGACAAGCTGAGTCCCCAAGGCCCCAGGAGGGCAGTGGCAGGCACCACACTGAGGACCCTGCCCACAGACCTACAGGATGCTCAGAGAAGTCTAATCATTGCCATCCCAGGGCTTCAATGTGCTGAACCTGTAACCATAGGTTATGGATTTTATTGTGTCCCCACAAAATATGTTGTAAATCCTAATCTCTGTCAGTTTGTCATACTGTGGTGGCTTGTGTGTTGCTGTGATACTGGAAGCTTTGCCACCGGTATTTCAAATACTCACCCTTGGTGGACAAGTTTCAGTGGAGCTTCCAGACTAAGACAGACTAGGAAGAAGGACCTGGCAGCCTACTTCTGAAAAAATTAGCCAGTGAAAACCTTATGAACAGCAGCAGAACATTGCCTGATATAGTGCCAGAAGATGAGCCCCTCAGGTTGGAAGGCACTCAACCTGGGGAAGAGGTGCCTCCTTTAAGTAGAGTTGACCTTAATGACGTGGATGGAGTAAGCTTTCTGGACCTTCATTTGCTGATGTGGCACGACTCAAAATGCGGACAGCTGCAAACATCCATTAATAATTGGAATTTGGAACGTACAAAGTATGCATCTAGGAAAATTGAAACTCATCAAAAATGAAATTGAACACATAAAGATCGATCTCCTAGGCATTAGTGAGCTGAAATGGACTGGTATTGGCCATTTTGAATCAGACAGTCATATGGTCTGCTATGCTGGGAATGACAAATTGAAGAGGAATGGCATCACGTTCATCATCAAAAAGAACATTTCAAGATCTATCCTGAAATACGATGCTGTCAGTGATAGAATAATATCCCTACACCTACAAGGAAGACCAGTTAATACAACTATTATTCAAATTTATGCACCAACCAGTAAGGCCAAAGATGAAGAAATTGAAGATTTTTACCAAATTCTGCAGTCTGAAATGGATCAAACATGCAATCAAGATGCACTGATAATTACTGGAAGTTGGAATGCAAAAACTGGAAAAAAGGAGAAGGATCAGTATTTGGAAAATATGGCCTTGGTGATAGAAACGGCGCTGGAGATCACATGACAGAATATTGTGAGATCAACGACTTTTTCATTGCAAATATCTTCTTTCGCCAACATAAACGATGACTATACACGTGGACCTCACCAGAAGGAATATACAGGAATCAAATCAATTACATCTTTGGAAAGAGACGATGGAAAAGCTCAATATATTATCAGTCAGAACAAGGCCAGGGTCCGACTGCAGAACAGACCATCAATTGCTCATACGCAAGTTCAAGTTGAAGCCGAAGAAAATTATAACAAGTCCATGAGAGCCAAAGTACAACCTTGAGTATATCCCACCTGAATTTAGAGACCATCCCAAGAATAGATTTGATGCACTGAACACTAATGGCCTCAGACCAGACAAGTTGTAGAAAGACATCAAGGACATCATATGTGAAGAAAGCAAGAGGTCATTAAAAGACAGGAAATAAAGAAAAGACCAAAATGGATGTTAGAAGAGATGCTGAAAGTTGCTCTTGAACATTGAGCAGCTAAAGCAAAAGGAAGAAATGATGAAGTAAAAGAGCTGCACAGAAGATTTAAAGGGCAGCTCGAAAAGACAAAGTAAAGTATTATAATGAAAACGTGCAAAGACCTGGAGTTAGAAAACCAAACGTGAAGAACATGCTCGGCATTTCTCAAGCTAAAAGAACTGAAGAAAAAATTTAAGCCTCAAGTTGTAATTGTGAAGGATTCTATGGGCAAAATATTGAACGACGTGGGAAGCATCAAAAGAAGATGAAAGGAATAGAGTCACTGTACCAAAAAAGAACTGGTCGATGTCAACCATTTCAGGAGGTAGCGTATGATCAGGAACCGATGGTACTGAAGGAAGAAGTCCAAGCTGCACCGAAGGCATTGGTGAAAAACAAGGCTCCAGGAATTGATGGAATATCAGTTGAGATGTTTCAACAAATGGATGCAGAGCTGGAAGTACCCACTCATCTATGCTAAGAAATTTGTAAGACAGCTACCTGGCCAACTGACTGGAAGAGATCCGTATTTGTACCCATTCCAACAGAATGCAGAAATTATCAAACAATATCATTAATATCACACACAAGTCAAATTTTGCTGAAGATCATTCAAAAGTGGCTGCAGCAGTGTATCAACAGAGAACTGCCAGAAATTCAGGCCAGATTCAGAAGAGGATGTGGAACCAGGGATATCATTGCTGATGTCACATGGATCCTGGCTGAAAGCAGAGAATACCAAAAAGATGTGTACCTGTGTTTTATTTACTGTGCAAAGGCATTTGACTTTGTGGATCATAACAAATTATGGATAACATTGCAAAGAACAGGAATTCCACCAACACTTAATTGTGCTCGTGAGGCATTTGCTGGAACAGAACAAGGGGATATTGCGTGGTTTAAAGTCAGGAAAGGTGTGCATCAGGGTTCTATCCTTTCACCATGCTTATTCGATTTGTATACTGAGCAAATAATGAGAAGCTGGACTGTATGAAGAATGGGGCATCAGGATTGGAGGGAGACTCATTAACAACCTGCAATATGCAGATGACACAACCTTGCTTGCTGAAAGTGAAGAGGACTTGAAGCACTTACTGATGAAGATCAAAGACTACAGAAGCACTTACTGATGAAGATCAAAGACCACAGCCTTCGGTGTGGATTACATTTCAGCATAAAGAAAACAAAAATACTCACAAGCGGACCAATAAGCAACATCGCGATAAATGGAGAAAAGACTGAACTTGTCAAGGATTTCATTTTATTTGGATCCACAATCAATGTCCATGGAAACAGCAGTCAAGAAATCAAAAGATGCATTGCACTGGGCAAATCTGCTGCAAAGGACCTCTTTAAAGTGTTAAAAGGCAAAGATGTCACTTTGAGGACTGAGGTGTGCCTGATCCAAGCCATGGTGTTTTCAATCACCTCATATATATGTGAAAGCTAGACAATGAATAAGGAAGACTGAAGAAGAAATGACACCTTTGAATTATGGTGTTGGCGAAGAATACTGAATATACCATGGACTAGCAGAAGAACCAACAAGTCTTTCTTGGAAGAAGTGCAGCCAAAATGCTCCTTAGAAGCAAGGGTGGCGAGACTGTCTCGTGTACTTGGGATGTGTTATCCGGAGAAACTAGTCCCTGGAGAAGGGCATCATGCTTGGTAGAGGGTCAGTGAAAAAGAGGAAGACCCTCAACGAGAAGGACTGACACAGTAGCTCCAACAATGGCCTCAAACATAATCATTGTGAGGATGGCACAGGACCAGGCAGTGGATCATTCTGTTGCACACAGGATCACTGAGTTGGAACCGAATCAATGGCACCTAACAACAGCAACAAAACATGCTTGTGGTTATAATCCCATGTAGGAATGAGTTTTCTGTGATGTTAATGAGGCAGAATTGGTGTAAAGTATGTCGTGAGTCAACCTCACAAAATACAAAAGGAGCAGATAAGGCAAGCAGAGATGGGGAAAGATTGATGTCCAGACACATGGAGATCTCCAAGGAGCCGGGAAACAAGCTAATGAGACAAGGACCTTGCCCCAGACCTGACAGAGGCAGAATGCCTTCCCCTAGATCTGGTGCCCTGAATTTGGACTTCTAGCCTCCTAAACTGTGAGAAAATAAAATTTTGTTTGTCAAAGCCACCCACTTGTGATAATTCTGTTATAGCAGCCAGCCACCTTCTCCAACAGGTCTTTTATTTTAAAACTCTTTTTGTTTTAAATTCCCTGAACCACACAACCCGAGGCCCCCACGCGCCCGGGCCTCAGGAAGAGTGACTTGGGCCCGGCAGGCTGGGTGGGCAGGAAGGCCATGGTGCACAGCGGCTCTCGCGCCGACCTTCCCTCTGCTGCTGTGATGAGGAAAGGGGGGTGTTCTCACATGGGCCACTCGCAGCAGGACGCCCGCGCCCCACCACGGTGAAGTGAGCCTGTCGCCGCTCTGCCCTGCTTGTTCCAACGTGTGGCTTGTTCCAGCCGCGGGGCCACCGCTCCCTCCTGGGCCTGTCCCCCAGGGCGGGCGCGTTGCCAGCCCTCCTGCAGCACGTGCTCGCCACCAGGCAGAGCTGTGTCCTCTCTGGTTGCACCGGGCCATCCACACCCACCATGTGACGGGGTGCCTGGCCTACTGGCCCCAGCTGAGCTTGGCCAAGTCTGGCAGTCTTCCCGCTGCTCCCCACTTGTTCCTGGTGGCGCTGGAGAAGCAGCGGCTCACCTCCCAGGAAAAATGGGCCCCCTGGGTGGGCGCCGATGCCCCAGCTGGGAGGGAAAGCCTTGGCTGAGCGTCCACGTCTCCCTCTCCATCCACCGCCCAAATCTTCCCTGAGAAAAGCGCTCGACGGGCGGGCTGATGCCTCTGGTGCGGAGACGGGTCTCTAATGCTGGAAGCAGGGCCTGCGTCTCCATGACAGGACTGGACGGTGACGGGGCCAGTCAGTGTGGTGGGGATGGCGAGGGGAGGGCGCATGGGCCCAGAGCTCAGAGCCAAGGTCAGTCATCACATGGAGGCAGAGCCCCGAGGACTCCAGGGTCACGGTCACGGCGCATAGGGTGGGCGCTGTGGCTGAGCTGGGCCCGGGGGAGGGGGCTCTTGAGTGCCATGTGCCACCCACCCAGCCTCCTGAGGGCACCGTGGGCCACTGAAAATCCATATCCATTCTGGAAACATCAGAAAATAGTTTAGTCATCAGAAAATAGTTTAATTATGTACAGGACGATCATCAGACTGATTACATAAAACAAGATGCAAATGTACACCTTCTGATTGGAGAAAAAAAAGATACGCTTAGCAAATGCAATCTCGACAGAGAACTGAAGTTCTCTCGATGAGGAGACTGTCACTAAACACCAGAATAAATCACAAACCGTGAGAACGGTGAGAGGAACATAAACCAACACTTTCCTTCGGGACAAGAAAAGGAAAATGAAACCACAGAAGTCGGCTGCTTTGGAATGTCTCTCCCTTCTCGTGCCCTTGGAATGGTGCTTGTTCCATAATCAGACCCCAGGACAGGCTGGCAGGCAGGTGGGCAGGCGGGAGGACGAGGGGCACCATGGAGTCTGTGGGCCGCCCCACGCCCCGCTCCTGAGGCGGCCACGACACCCACGCTTGCTGGTGCTCATGGAGGGCGTCCCGCTCTGGCCCTGTGCCGGCCCCCATGCCTGCTGCCCATGCAGCCCCCCTTGTTGCGGCTCAGAAGAGGGGCCTGGAGCCCTGGTTCTCAAACTCGGACCAGGCGTCGTTGAGTTCCATGAAGATCATCTTGGCGTACTGCTCATACGGCTGCCCTGTGGCCTGTGGGCGACAGACGGGTGTGAGCGTGGTGTCCGGCCACCGTGGCTCACTTGCCTGCACCCCCTTCAAGACTAGTGTCATGTACTTGCCCAGCCTGGGCGTGGGGGAGCATCCAGGACGTTGTGACCAGAAGCCCCCGAGGGACCCCCGAGGAAGCCCCGCCATAGGAGGGCGCAGAAGGCCCGGCTGTGCCACCCCCCGGGCCCCGGGGCGGAGCGGGTAAAGGCTGCTCACCTTGTCGGGATGGACGACCAGCACGGCGCGGCGGTAGTGCTTCTTCACCTGGCTGGGCGTCACCAGGTCGGCCATGCCCACGGGCGTCCAGCGGCCCTCGCCGTCCCAGAGCACGGTGTGCAGCGTGGACAGCAGTGCGCGGATGTTCCGCTCCTTGCCTTCGATCCAGTCCAGGAGCTAGGGGACATGTGCACGTGAGCCTCGGGCGCCCCATGCCCTCGAGGCCGGCGTGGCCATGCCACAGGACACTGGCTCTGGCATCGCTGCCCCTGCGGCAGGGACACATGGCCCATGAGCACGTCCTGGGTGTTCCTGCACCACAGAGCAGTCCCCGGAGGTGCTGCCCACACGCTCTGGCCGCCCCGCCTCCCGCACAGGTGTGGAGGCATGAGGTGCAGCCCACAGGCAGTACGGCTATGGTCTGTGCCCAGGCTGCTGGACTCCAGGCCCTGAGCCTTGGTCATCCCCAGGCCTCTTTCGGGAACGGACACCTCTGGAAAGCACTCGCCTGCCCACAGAGCAGTGCCTGAGGAGGCTCTCTGGGGGCGCTCCCTGAGCATGGCCTGCACTCGCTCTCACTGGGGGCTGGGGCTGGGATCACGGACCCACAGACTAGCCCCCACAGAGGAGCCCATAGGCATCGAGAGCAGCAGAGACGCCGACAGCTGCCAGCCCGGTGAGGCCACCTTCCTACCGCCGAGCCCACCTCAGCCGACCATCGAATGCTGCTTGGGCCACCAGTGAGCCACAAAGTCAGAACGGCCTGTTCCGTCCTTTCCAAGGGCTCCCCACCCATGTGAAGCCGGGGCCGCCCGCCTCTGCCCCGGGCCTGCTGGGCCCCGCCTCGCTCTGCCCATTCCCGCCTGGTGCTCCGATGCCCACGTGGATGTCCCCAACTCCACAGGAACTCCACAGTACACCCTCTGTCGTTCCTGTAAAGCCACACCGTCACACAACCTAAGAGACAGGAGATGGGGCTTGCCCTTGGGCCAAAGCTGCCACACCCTGACCCAGGGGTGCTGCAAGCCGCCACTGCCGCCCTGCTGGAGCTGTCCAGTGTGGGCTTCTCTCCCGCAGACGTCACCCAGTAACCAGCATGGTGGGCATCACCGTCTGCAGACACACCGTCTGTGCGGTTCACAGCCGTGGGTGGGCCCCAGGTGCTAAGGGTGTGCCCCTGGCTGTGGATGCGACTGGCCCCAGCCCCCATGACAGCACTGTATGCATCACGTGTCCACAAGGTGCAGGCCATGAGCAGGGCGAGCCCCGTTTGCTGGGGGACCCTGGGCTGCCCAGTCCCACTGTCCCTTGTGCTAACACTGTGCGAGGCCTTTCCTGATGCAGCGCTCGCCCCGGGGAGGCTGCTGTTCGCCAAGCAGATGTGGCATTCCGGTGGCCCTCAGCTGCCTCCCCAGCACTCATGCTTCCCGCTGGGTTACAGGCCCCTGGCCCCAAGGCGTAAACGTCGCCTCCTGGCTCCCTTCCAAGGCTGCTGTTCTCTCTCTGCATTAGCTGGCCCTGCCGGCCACGTCCTCAGAGGCCCTCTGCCAGGCCCCTCCTCAGGTGCCCATGTCTGACCTCAGGTGGGCTCTGCCCACCTTCTCCTCTGTGGCCCCTACTCGTATGGTCTCAGACCTGTGAATCCCCTTGTGGCAGCACCTATGGACTCCCCATCCTCTCTTCTGAGGCCCCATTGCTCTGCCCTGCACCCCGACCATGGCCCCAGTGCCCCGCCCACCCATGCCACACTCCTTCCAAATGGAGGCTTTTCCTGCCTTGTCTGCTGGACCACGGCCACCCTGGGAGCCCCTTCACTCTGGGAAGCTAAGGGAGACTGACGGAGCTCAGACCAGGCCCTGCACAGCCCGCAAAGGTCCCCCAGGACGTCTTGTCCTCTTGCCCACTCGCACCTGGGATGCTGACATCCCCGTCCCCTCTCCCACTCACACCTGGAATGCTGATGTCTCTGTCCCCTCTCCCACTCACACCCGGGACGCTGACATCTCTGTCCCCTCTCCCACTCACACGGGGGGCCTGGAACACTGACGTTCTGGCCCCTTCTCCTGCTCATACCTGGGATGCTGACCTCCTGGCCCCCTCCTGCTCACACTCGGGACGCTGACCTCCTGGCCCCTCTCCTGCTCACACCTGGGATGCTGAAGTCCTGGCCTCTCTCCTGCTCACACTCGGGATGCTGACCTCCTGGCCCCTCTCCTGCTGACACCCAGCATGCAGACGACCCTGGTCCCTCTACTGCTTACGATGAGGCCCCTGGAAACAGATATCCTCGTCCCCTCTCCTGCTCTCACCTGGGATGCGGATGTCTGTGACCCCTCTCCCGCTCACACCTGGAATGCTGACATCTCTGACCCCTCTCCCACTCATACCTAGGGCCTCCGGGACACAGACGTCCCCTCTGGCCCTCTTCCACTTACACCACGTCCCAAGCGCCCTGGGTGTGAGTGGGACAGGGGCCGGCAGACGTGGGACCAGCATCCCTGCCCCCTCCATTGTCTGCAGGTCCAACACATCCAAGGATGCAGGAACCCAGCGTGGGCTGCAGACCCTGGACCCCCGCCCCACTGCACAGGGGCAGCACCTGCTACAAGACAGCCAGCAGTCTCTCCACATCTCACTGAGGTCTGGGGACCAAGGCTGCCCGAAGGGAAATGATGGGGCGGCAGAGATGCTGTGTGGGCATGGTGGGCGGGGGGCAGGGTGGCAGTGACTGTGTGGGCACAGTGGGCGGGGGGCAGGGCGGCAGTGACTGCGTGGGGCACGGTGGGCGGGGGGCAGGGCGGCTGTGACTGCGTGGGGCACGGTGGGCGGGGGGCAGGGCGGCAGTGACTGCGTGGGGCACGGTGGGCGGGGGGCAGGGCGGCTGTGACTGCGTGGGGCACGGTGGGCGGGGGGCAGGGCGGCAGTGACTGCGTGGGGCACGGTGGGCGGGGGGCAGGGCGGCTGTGACTGCGTGGGGCACGGTGGGCGGGGGGCAGGGCGGCAGTGACTGCGTGAGCACGGTGGGCGGGGGGGGGGAGTCACACCTTGAGCTTGAGCGGGTCTGTGTCTTTAGCCATCTCTTGCTTCCTCATCTCAGCAATCGTCTTTGGTCCTTTTTTGTCAGATTTAGAGGAAAAACCTTCATTGGGCAGCAGGTCTTCAAAGTCATTTTCTGAAACTTTTGGCTTTTGAGCTGGAAGAGAATGCTAATCTTAAAAGAAACGCACACACAGACCAACATTACTCCTGTTAATCCACTCTTTCACCCCCAGGAGGAAACCCACGACCCTGAAAGGTGGAAAGCTGTCCTCATGCCACAAAAAAGCAAAGCAAAGAAAACACAGAGCTGCCGAGGGCCAACCAGGCTCAGCTCCTCCTGAGAACAGAGTGTGATGTGGCTCTCTGCGGGCACCATCTGTCTCACTGGGTCAAGCAGCACATGGACGAGAGCTTGGGGGCGGTCCCTGAAGGAGCGGCCGGGGTGGGGGCTGCCCACACCTGGGCCCACATGCCCCCTTGTCTGCTCGCCAGCCCCGTGCCCCTCGGGGTGACTTCTCCAGCCGGATGACCCTCGGGACTGAAAGCCGACTGGAAAGAACATCTAATCAGGCTCGGGGGCCCGGATGACCCAGAGACCTGGGCTGGGTTCGCTAGCCTCCTCGGGCCTGGACGACCCAGAGCCCTGGGCTGGGCTCGCTCGCCTCTTCAGGGGTCCAGATGACCCAGAGCCCTGGGCTGGGCTCGCTCGCCTCCTCAGGGGCCCGGACAAACCAGAGCTCTGGACTGGGCTTGCTCGTCTCCTCAGGAGCCTGGATGACCCAGAGCCGTGGGCTGGGCTTGCTTGCCTCCTCAGTAGGAGGACACGGGGCTCAGAAACTGGTGGGCAGCTCACTAGGAGACATGGATGGATTTACTGCATGGAAGGACATCAAGAGGAACGTGAGATGTGCCATCCTTCCCGTGGTGACAAACACCAGAGCAGCCGGACCTGGGCTTGGGAGCTAGAGACTGACTGCCTGGCAGCCCCAGGGCAGGCGGTAGGGCTGAGGTTTCCCAGGACCATGAGGGCCTCTCGGCACAGCCGTGCCCTGCCTCTCCCCTTGCACTGAGGTTGCAGGGGCCCCTCCTCACCCGCACCCCTTGGCCAATGTGAGCCGCAGCGTCCCGTGTGCTGACAGGAAGATGGGCTGAGAACAGGGAAGAGGAAGACACTCTGGAGATCAGTATCACAAAACCATTTCCTCCCAACTACTAGTGACAAATACGTGCTCGGCCTGATTTAAATTTACCTTTCTGAAGGCTGGGCTGAGTTGAAGAAAACAAAACTGAATTCACCTTTAACCACTTTAAGGCAAGCTTTGCACAAATCACACGTGGAGAGAAACAAGGACAACTTACCAAAGCTGGGTGCGCGGATGCCCCTCTCCTCACGGCCGCCAATCACACTGAAGTTCATGGCATAGTTAGGCCTCGGCTGCGAGCAGGCTTTGGCAGGGGGCGGCTTGGCCTGGGGGGACCAGGAGGTGCCCTGGGTGGGGGCCCGACTCGTCTGCCAGGAGCTGCCAGCACCCTTAGGAGGAGGGGCCGTTTTGGGAATGAAACCACCAGGAGGGAACCCGCTGGGCGTGCCTGAGGAGACAGTGCAGGGGTGGGTCAGCGGCAGGGACTGTGACAGCCGCCACAGCCCATTAAAGACAGCTCACAACTGAGAGACAACTGTACATCTTAGCACTTTCAAAAACACATACGTTGGAAATACAAATTTACAGAGCGAACTAGTTATCACTTGAGTCAATCAAGAGTCACCACCTCCACCCTACAGCATGTGAGGGAGGGTCTCTGATTCTACCCCACAGCACGGGAGGGAGGGTCTCAGGCAGCAGAATAGCGCAGCCAGGCATGATGGCGGCTGAGAAAATTCTGGATCATGGTCAGACATAGGGAAGGCCAGCTGTCGAGGTGACACCTCCCCACTCCCTCAGCTGGACTGCACCCCCACCCCCTACCACGTGGTCTAGCCAGCATGGCCAAGGTGCATGCTCATTCACAGGGGCTGTGGGCCAGTGCCACCATGCTGGCAAAGGGCAGCCCGAGGAAGATGGCCGGACAGCACATACATGTCCTCCTCAAGGCACTCCCTCTCAAAACCCCTCCTGCCTTAAAAAACTTTTTATTTTCAAATAATTACCCCCAGGAAATTCCAAAATTGTCCCCGAGAGATTATCCTGACAGCCCAGCTCCATGCCCCCTAGGGTGATGCCTCACACGACTGTCATCACCAAGACCTGGGACAGGTCATCCTGAGCACCCAACCAGCGCCCCAGGGTGATGCCTCACACGACTGTCATCACCAAGACCTGGGACAGGTCATCCTGAGCACCCAACCAGCGCCCCAGGGTGATGCCTCACACGACTGTCATCACCAAGACCTGGGACAGGTCATCCTGAGCACCCAACCAGCGCCCCAGGGTGATGCCTCACACGACTGTCATCACCAAGACCTGGGACGGGTCATCCTGAGCACCCAACCAGCGCCCCAGGGTTATGCCTCACACGACTGTCATCACCAAGACCTGGGACAGGTCATCCTGAGCACCCAACCAGCCCCCCAGGGTGATGCCTCACACGACTGTCATCACCAAGACCTGGGACGGGTCATCCTGAGCACCCAACCAGCGCCCCAGGGTTATGCCTCACATGACTGTCATTATCGAGACCAGGGACTGGCCTGGGCATATCCAGAATGTACTCAGATACTGCCAGTTGTTACCTGCACATATGTGTGCGTGCGTGCCTGGTTCCACGCAGCTTCACCCTGTACGCAGACTCATGCAAGCACCAGAACAATCAAGACACAGGCCTGTCCCACCCCTCCGAGACCTCCCTCGTGCTGCCCTTTTAAAGCTACACCCAACCCTAACCCCCACAACCACTAATCTGTTCTCTAACTCAGTAATTTGCCATTTCAAGAATGTTCTATGAATGGAACCACACAGTAGACAGCCTTTTGAGACAGGCTGTTTTCATTGTATAACGTCCATCCACATCACTGTGGACAATTGCAGTTGGTTGCTTTTTATTGTTGAGTAGAGTCCATGGTATGGATGTACCACAGTTTAACCACCCAATTTATTCTGGTGATGTCAATTTATCCATTTTTTCTTTTCTGGATCATGGTTTCGGTGACGTGTCTAAGAACTCTAGGTTCCAAAGATTTTCTTGTATTGTGGTGCAGTGAATTGCTTTTATACAGCCCTTCCAGCCATGGTTTTATAACGCTCACAAAATGATTGGGTGGGACTATGTAAATAAGGTGTATGTGGCCCATCAAGGGGAACAGACAACCTGCTAGTGCAAATAAGGTGTATGAAACCCTAGCAAGGGTGGGACCATGCAAATAAGGTGCATGGAACCCTTGTAGGGGATTGGTCCATTTTGCCATTCTGCTAGGCTTAAAGGGAGACAATCCCAAGAGACTAGAGGAAAAATTCCCTGCCATCAAGAAGAGTCATAACATTTGACAAAGTCCAACAACAATCTGTGACAAAAATTCTCAGCAAAATAGGAATAGAAGGAAAATTCCTCAACATAATAAAGGGCAATTATAAAAGCCAACAGCCAACATCATCCTAAATGGAGAGAGTCTGAAAGCATTCCCCTTGAGAACAGGAACCAGACACCACTCTTATACAATACTGTGCTAGAGATCCTAGCCAGAACACTTGGGCTAGAAAAAGAAATAAAGGGCATCCAAATTGGTAAGGAAGAAGTAAAAGTATCTCTATTTGCAGATAATATGATCTTAAACACAGAAAACCCCAAAGAATCCACAAGAAAACTACTGGAACTAACAAAAGATTTCAGCACAGTAGCAGGATACAAGATAAACATACAAAAATCAGTTGTATTCCTCTACATCAAAAACGAGAACCTCGAAGAGGAAATCATCAAATCAATACAATTTACAATAGCCTCCAAGAAGATAAAATACTTAGGAATAAATCTAACCAGAGATGTAAAAGATCTCTACAAAGAGAACTACAAGACACTACTGCAAGACACCAAAAGAGACCTACGTAAGTGGAAAAACATACCTTGGCTCATGGATAGGAAGACTCAACATTGTGAAAATGTCAATTCTACCCAAAGCGATCTATAGATACAATGCAATCACGATACAAATTCCAACGGCATTTTTCAATGAGATGGAGAAACAAATCACCAACTTCATATGGAAAGGGAAGAGGCCCAGGAAAAGTAAAGCATCATTCAGGAAGAAGAACAAAGTGGGAGGCCTCACACTGCCTGATTTTAGAACCTATTACACTGCCACGGTAGTCAAAACAGCTTGGTACTGGTACAACAACAGATACACAGACCAACAGACCAGAACTGAGAATCCAGATGTAAATTCATCCACCTATAAGCAGCTGATATTTGACAAAGGCCTAAAGTCTGTTAATTGGGGAAAAGACAGTCTCTTTAACAAATGGTGCTGGCATAACTGGATATC